AACAGCATTCTGCCTCAAACAAAATTAAATTCATGAAATTGTTTCTGGAGATCTGCTTTTATCCTTGCCTGAAATATCTTTCGCTCACCGCTGCACTCGTTCATGAAGCTTTTGGAGGAGCCGGAGATTGTGAGATTTTGATCTTCTTCAACGTGCTGCCACATTTACGCGCGCCTTTCCAAGTCCCTGAGCTTCGCAAGCTCCACCGCCTTGCGGTTGAGCACCGTCGGCCACTTCAATATATCTTCTTCGCCTCAAGTCTGGGAAGGGCCGTCCCCTTGCTGTAGATTTGAGTGAGGGCTGCAGCCTTGCCTGGCTCGGGCGCAGCATGCGAAGGTGGTGGCAAGAGCAATGCCCGATTGAACATTTTGTAATAATTCAATGACTCGATAAAAAGTAGGTTCATCACGACAAAACATTAGTGGTCCCTTTACCTTACCAAAAAAAAAAAACATTAGTGGTCCCTTTCCAGCCCTTTCTCTTGACCTTGACCTGGAGGCTACCAGACATGCGGATGGAAAACAAATCACCCCGTCGAACACGCAAAGCAACCACGCTAAACACATGAAGCTAAAGCATCTCATCTTCGCACTGTACTAACGTTCACAAATCGAATGACTACAAGTTGACCGCAGAGGAAGCTGGTCCAATGAACTTAGGCATAAGCCTTGCTCTCTTCAGAGATCGAGTACTTTATGATTCCTAAAAGACAGATGTCATGACCGTCCAGCATTTGCGCTGACTGATGCACAAGCTGGGAAGCTGGTCCTAAGATTATAAAATGAATCTATGACCACGTCTTAGAGACAAGTATGCAAACTAGATTAGTAATGTAATGTTTTTCCAATTTTCCGGTGTTCGGCACAAGGAAAATAAATGAGCTAAAGAAAACAATTTCCACAATGGAAAAAAGGCCTCCAAAATCGGGGAAAACGGTTGCAGCAGTTATGACAGTTATCACACTAGTTATGGATATTTATAATCATTCTGAGAACCTTGTACCAAGAGAGTCTCATGTGAATCGAGATTACGAGAGAGAGTTGTATATGAATCCTGGGTTATACAATGGCCATACTCATTGTATAAATCAAATACGAATGATGCTGAATGCTTTTTTAGAGCTTAGTAAGGCACTTGATTGAAGTAATTGTTGCGTTCCATAATAAATATTTCTATTACGGAGCAAGTTCTAGTATTTTGCCATATCGTCGGACATAATGTGAGGTTTAGAGTCATTGGGGAAGATTTCATAGGTGAATAGATATTTCAAAATCGTCTTGTAAGCGATTTTGAGATTATACGAACATGTGGTGAAAGAACCACGCAATTCCACTCCTCCTGAGAAAAGTGACAATAGAAGGTTTTATCCATATTTTAAGATATAAAAATCGGAAGAAAAAGTCTTTATACATTGCTTGAGAAGTTCAATTAGTATTTGATTGGTAACTATATTGATTATTTAGAATTATGTCAGAGCAACGCATGGTACCCATGTAAGTGCATCGGTTCCTCTAGAAATTCAAGGAAGAATTCGTGGTCGAAATGATGAAATAACACAAAATGTATTAGCTGCTGTTACATTTGACTTGAGATTTTCTTATGTAATAGCTGGTCGAGAGGGCATTGCATATGATTCACATATTTAATTTGATGCACTTTCAAAGTCGGATGGCTTGAGCATTTCTAGAGGTAAGAAAATAAAATTTATAAACAATATTCGAATTGAGCTTAGTATGATAAACTTATTTATAACTTGCAGGAAAATATTGTCTCGTTGATGCTAGTTATGGAATTTAAAATGACATCATCTCTCCCTATTAGATACCATTTGGAGGAGTTCAGTGATCGCCCCTGAAAATGAGAAGGAACTATTCAATCCATGCCATTCATCTCTAAGAACAACTGTCGAAAGAGCGTTTGGAGTCTTTAATAAGCATTTTCAAGTATCATATTCTGAACTTTTTTGGTTATTTGAAACACTAGTCGATATTGTCTTAGCTTGTTGTATCATTCATGATTTTTTTAATGGGATTTGATACCAATGACTCTATCATAGAAGAGATGAATAGACAAATGGAGTTTCAAGGAGAAAATCCAAGAATTCAACTTTTTCAAAGAGAGGAAAAGGAGGAAAATAGGATATGAGCATAAAAAAGGGATAGGATTACGCATGCAATGTGGATTAGTTTTTGGAATATTGATTAATTATCGGAATATTAGAAGAAGCCAACAGTTTTCCTTTTGTTTCTTTTGAGTGCTTCATTTAGAACATGTGGCTTCCATTCCTTTAATGTTAATCATCTTTAAATATTTACTACTCGTCCATTTTCATCATATTTTTTCTTATTTTGCTATTTAAAGTTGGCACCTAGTTATCAAGATGAGTAAAAGTAAGGCAAATGATGAGAAGGTCAAGCAATTTAGGTGGTCTAAGCCTATGGAACGTGTTCTATTTGAAATTTTTGCCGATGAAGCTAGTAAATGAAACAAAGCCTTCGAGCGCTTCAAACCCTCCTCAATTGCTCGAGTTGTCAATACAATAAATGAGAGGTATGGCGTTGGTTATGAACCCGAAGAACTATTTGAAGATAGTCAAAAGCAACTGGGAATCGATTCAAATTGTACGTGGCAAGAGTGGATTCAATCGAAATGACAAGTTGAAGGTGGTCATAGCTGGGAAAAGAAAATTTGATCAATATGTGATGGTAATTTTTTTCATATTCTATCCCAAGTTATGCTGCCTGTGCTGCATTTTTCATATATAGGGTTTTGTTTTCGGCATTGTTGTTCAAGAGTTGACATAGGCATCAAAAGATCAAGGATTATCAGTGATAGGATTAGCTATGGATCTTATGCATCAATGACTTGAACTGCAAGTAGGAGACCATGGTAGTGTAAAATTCTTTCCATAATTCACAACTACTCCAGCAACACCAAATAGCCCAAAAGTGATCTTGATGAGTGTAAATCTCTTCAACACAGAAAGATTTTTACACTACCATGGTCTCTCCACTTACAGGTCAAGTTAGCTAATCCTACCACTGATAATCCTTATAATAATGATCTATTGATTTCTATGTTAACTCTCAAAGAACAATGTAGAAAACAGAACCCTATATGCATCAAGACACAGCTAGTACAAGTTGGGACAATTTATGAAAAAAATTACTGTCACATATTGATCAAATTCCCTTTCCCAACTATGACCATCTTCAATTTGTCATCCCAATTGAATCCACTCTTGCGACAAACAATTTGAATCGTCTTCCAGTGGCTTATGACTATCTTCAAATGGTTTCCAATGTGGTTAGGCTCACCACCAACACCAAACCTCTCATTTATCGTATCGACAACTCGAGCTTGCTTGAAGAGGATTTGAATGCGCTTGAAGTCTTGTTTCCTTAACTAGCTTCATCGGCAAGAATTTTATTTAGAACACGTTCCATAAGCTTAGACCATCTATTGCTTGACCTTCTCGTCATTTGCCTTACTTTTACGATAACTACGTGACAACTTTAAACAGTAGAATAAAAAAAAATACGATAAAGAGGGACATTCTAAATGAAGCACTCAAAAGAAACAAACTATTGGATCTTTCTAATATTCTGATAACTAATCCTTGGATTCTTAAATTTTCTCTTTGAGATTCCATTTGTCTATTTATATGTTCCATGATAGAGTCATACAACATCGAAAAGCTTCTTTAAAACTCTAAACGCTCTTTCGACAGTAGTTCTTAAAGATAAATGGCACAGATTGAATAGTTTCTTCTCATTTTCAAGTGGACGATCACTCTAAACTCTTTCGAATGGTATCTAACACCATGATAAGGAGAGATGATGCCATTTTGGATTCCATAACAAGCATAGCCAAGATAATATTTTACTACAAGTTATAAATGAGTTATTAACCAGATACTAAGCTCAATTCAAACATTGTTTATAAATGCCATTTTCTTACCTTTGGGAATGTTTAATCCATCCAGTTTTGAAAATGCATCATTAATCATGTGCAGTGCCCTACCAACCAGCTAATACATAAGAAAATCTCAAGTACATATATTTTGTGTTGTTGCACATACATGAGTTCCATTTATAATTCCGACACAATCCTAAAACAATCAATATAGTTACCAACCAAATACAAATGAAACTTCTCAGGCAATGTATAAAGACTTTTTTTTTTCTAAATTTCATAACTTAAAATATGGACAAAACTTTTGACTATTACTTATCTTAGGAGGGGTGGAATTGCTCGGTTCTTTCACCACATGTTTGTACAATTTCAAAATCGCTTAATTTCAAAATCGCTTGCAAGATGATTTTGAAATATTAATGCACGGTGTGTATTGACCTAGGGAGTCTTCCCCCATGGCAAAATACCAGAAATTGCTCCCTGATAGAAACATTAACTATAGAATGCAACAAGTTACTTGCACTGAGTGCTTTACAAAGTTCTAAAAAAGCATATGATGTCATCCAAATTTGATTTATACAATAAGTATCGCCATTGTACAAGACACAATTCATGTACAACTCTCTCCATGAGGCTCCCTCGGTATGTTGTTCTCGGAATAATTATAATCATCCGTAATTAGTGTAATAAATGTCATAACTGCTGCAATTGCACCTGTTACCGCCCCTTGGATTTTATTATTATCCATCTATATTGGAGCACACAGATCATGAAACACAAAATGCACGTAAAATCACTCCAAAAAGAGAACAACAAATCCTCCAAGCAAATTATAACTTTAAACTTCAGAGAAAAGAATTCTGACGGATACATACACAAACCAACACCAGACAACATTTTCAAAATTATAGAATTGTTACATGAAGTTGAGGGGATCCCCCGGCAATTGCATTACCCAAAAAATATATAATTGTTGCTTCACCTATTCCTCTAAACTCACCATTCCAGAAACAGAGAAGTTACATTAAGTTCACTGCACCCACTCTTTAGATATTTGGCATTTCGTAATTAAAGCATGTCATATGTGCCGGCAGATTATTTAGTAAAGAATATATAGCAAATACTTCATATCTCTAACATTGCTTTATGTCCATATAAAGTGAGTCTACATTCAGCATGAAACAGAACTCTCAATAGAATACCTGTCACCAACTCACGACACCTAAGAGATTAGGACTATCAACGTATGGTCAACAGACAAAATCAGAACTTGAGAACCTCTGCCCATAGAAGCAAAAGCATTTGGAACAATTCTACTTCACCTTTGCCGAGAATCTCTTTCCCTCTTTCCTCAGATCAGCCACTACCCAGTAACAACTTAAACACATGAACCCAAAAACTTCAGCACCAGAGATTTCCATCCGTTTTTTTAACTTTGTTGATGCACATAGCACTTGCTGGAGAAGATGACTCACTTGCAGTTCAAGAGCCTAAAGTATTGAACAAAATCCAAACTGAATAACTGTTATACACTCGCCAAGATAGTTGCTTCACCTACTCCTCTTAACTCACAATTCCAGAAACAATTACACTTGTACCTTACTGGAAATCAAACTACCAAAAGAACCCACCAGCCGCGCCCCTGCATTTATTTCCTCATCCTTGTGAAGTCTTTTTTCCTCCCAAAAGATTCACGTGTTGTAGAGGGCATGAACAAGGCCAAAATTGCTCGATTAATCAAACCGAATCCTCAAGGTTACGCAGAAACAAACCGGATACACAAGGGAAAGCTAGAAATGGCAACTGAAATCACACATTTCACAACAAAAGTGAAATTGAAGCCATGGGACTCCATCAAACCTGTTGAAGGAGAGCCAATGAAGAACCTCTAAAAGCAGTCCCATCCCCAGCAGAACAGAGAAAAGAGCTAGGGTTTCTCTGGCAACACCAGACAGCAAAAAGCAGACTTAAGCTAGGGTTTCCGCCTGAACAAGCCCAAAATTCCTCAAAAAATCAAACCAAATCCTCAAGGTTACACGGAAACAAACCGGATACACAAGGGAAGCTAGAAATGGCAACTGAAATCACAAATTTCACAACAAAAGCAAAATTGAAGCCATGCGACTGTGTCAAACCTACTGAAGGAGAGCCAATGAAGAACCTCTCGAAGCGGTCCGAACCCCAGCAGAACAGAGAAAAGAGCTAGTGTTTCTCTGGCAATTGGAAGGAAGAGACTAAGACTCCATTTGCTTCGTGAAAAATGAATAATTTAAAAAATATTTTTTTAAAAATAATTGCTTATATCACTTACAAAAATAAATGTACGAAAAATATTTCTATCATCCACAAAAAATTTTAGATATAAATTATAGTCGATAATAAAAATATTTTTCATTGATTAATTATTTCAAAGGATCATTTTTAAGAAAATGTTTTCAAAATCATTCATTTTCCACAAAACAAATAGAGGCTTAGTCTTCCTCCCACACACACCGGGGCAGCCCTAGAAATGATTTAAACCCTAGACATTTTTAATTTACTTAAATACTCAAGTCTGCCAATAAATATTTCTATGAAATTGCTAATATGTGTATTGCCAATTTGCAATTTAATCTTTTTCAATTTTTCTTTTTGCATTTTAATCAATCAATAGTTTGAATAACTATTAGGTAGATGGGAACAACAAGTAAGAGAATCATAACTGTTGAGAGAGAGAGAGAGAGAAATATACGTATTATGTTATCTCAATCAAAGGATTACAAGAATACATGTAATATATATGTGTAACCCTCTCGATATAAAATAACTTTTGACTGTTTTACCCTTATTATTATTTCCTAACACTCCCCCTCAAGTTGAGACGTAGATATCAAACAATCCCAACTTGTTACATAAAAAATTCACTCTATTCCCTCGTAAAGACTTGGTAAAAATATCTGCAAGCTGATCCTCTGTCCTTGTATGTTGAAGAGTGATCTCTCCTTTCTGAACTTTTTCTCGTATAAAGTGACAATCAACCTCAATGTGCTTGGTTCGCTCATGGAAGACAGGATTATTTACAATATGAATAGCTGATTGATTGTCACAATATAATATCGATGGTTCTGATGTTGACAACCCAATTTCTGACAATAACATCCTTAACCAGAGCAATTCACCTGTCACATGTGCCATCGCTCTATATTCTGCTTCAGCACTTGATCGAGAAACCACATGTTGTTTCTTGCTCTTCCATGCAATTAAATTACCTCCAAGAAAAACACAATAACCCGATGTAGATCTTCTACTAGTAGGGCATCCAGCCCAATCTGCATAAGAGAAACCTGTGGTATTCAGATGGCCATAATTCTTGAAAATTAGTCCTTTACCCGGCGCTCCTTTCAAGTATTTGATAATTCGAAGCACAGCATCCCAGTGAGTAGTCCGAGGAGAACTCATGAATTGGCTAACAACACTAATAGCAAAGGATATGTCAGGTCTCGTGACAGTAAGATAATTCAACTTACCAACTATTCTCCAATATTTCACTGGGTCATGTAACAGTTCTCCATGTTCTGCATCAAGTTTCACATTGGGTTCCATAGGAGTATCAACCGGTTTTGCTCCAATAAGTCCAACCTCATTAAGAATGTCAAGAACATATTTTCGCTGAGTTAAGTTGATACCCGTATGTGAGTAGGCAACCTCGATACCTAGGAAATACCGCAAACGTCCCATATCCTTAGTACTGAACTGTGTATACAGAAACTGTTTAAGTCGTTGAATACCATCTGAATCACTACCAGTAATAATAATATCATCCACATATACCACCAAAAGAATACAACCAACTGATGAGACAGAACTGAAGACCGAATGATCTACTTGACACCGCTTTAATCCAAACTTGATAACAGCATCACTGAACTTACCAAACCAAGCACGAGGAGATTACTTGAGTCCATACAAAGCCTTGTGCAAGTGACATACCAGATTCTCCCCCTGAGCAACAAATCTTGGTGGTTGCTCCATATACACCTCTTAAGCCAAATCACGATGTAAGAACGCATTTTTAATAGCTAATTGATGAAGAAACCATCCAAAACGCGCTGCCAGAAAAATAAAGACACGAACAGACGGAATTTGGCTACACGGGAAAATGTGTCATCATAATCAACACCATATGTTTGAGTATATCCTTTGGCGACCAACCGTGCCTTCAATCGATCTATGGTGCCATCAGGGTGGACCTTAAAAGTGAAAACCCAACGGCAACCAACAGGTTGTTTCCCCGCAGGTAAGGTAGTGAGCTCCCAATTGTGATTCTCAATGAGTGCCTTCATTTCATCCTCCATGGCTTGTCGCCAACTAGGATGAGCAAGAGCTTCAGTAACACTGCTAGGCACAGAAACAGAGGACAAGGACGAGACAAAGGTAGAGAAGGTGGGAGATAAACGATCATATGACATAAAATTGGTAATAGGATGACGAGTACGAAGACAATCAGACAAACCAGAGTAGAGTGTATAACGATCCACAGGATGTCCAACACAAGAACGCGTACCTTTTCGGGTAGCAATGGGTGGATCAGGATCAGGATCAGAGGATGGCACAGCAACCGATGAGGGAACAGATGAATCAAGTGATGGCTGTACTACTGTAGTGGGAGCTGTTCCTCGTCTATGGTAAGTGCGATTAGCAAACTGAAATCCTGTTGACGATGCTGGAGGAAGTGAGATAGGTGGGAGTCCGTAAGACACACTCGACATCGTCAGGGGGCACTGTAGGGACAGTTTGAGTAGTAAAGTATGGCTGGTCTTCAAAAAATGTCACATCTGCTGATACAATCACACGACGACTAGTAGGATTGTAACATTTATAACACTTATGAGTTCGAGAATACCCAACAAAGGCACATTTTTTAGCACGAGGGTCCAGTTTATCAAGACTTGGAGTCAAAGAATGGACGAAACAAACACAACCAAAGACACGTAGAGGTAATGCAAAGGGAGGACGATTTGGATGTAAAATAGAAAAAGGTGTCCCCCTGAAGAATAGAAGTTGGAAGTCGATTAATTAAGAAGCAGGCTGTAAGGACAGCATGGCCCTAAAAGGTTTTCGGTAGATGCATGTGAAACATAAGACAACGAGCAACATCAAGAAAATGACGATTTTTACGTTCAGCAACACCATTTTGTTGTGGTGTATATGAACAGGAAGTTTGATGAATAATGCCATGAGAATCAAGAAAAGGTTGAAAACCAGAGGCAACAACAAGACACTCTTTTGCATTATCGGACCGTAGAGTTTTGACAGAAGTATTATATTGATTCAACACCTCAAAGTAGAATCGACGAAAGCAATGAAAAATCTCAGTACGATCTTTTATTAAGAACAACCAAGTCATTCGGGAAAAATCATCCACGAATGTAACAAAATACCGGAAACCAGATGTATCACAAACACGACACGGACCCCATACATCTGAGTGAACTAGCTCAAAGGGACTAGACACACGACTCTGAAAGCGAGAAGGAAAAGAAACTCTATGGTGTTTTCCAAACTGACAAGTTTCACACTCAAAAGTACTCACAGACTCAGACTCAGGAAACAATTGTCGAAGAATGTTCGGTGGTGGATGACCAGCACGACAATGCATCCGATACACATCAGTGGATGTGCGCTTCACAGCTGCTGCAGCTATCACCTTCTTATCTAGATAGTATAGGCCATTTGATTCATGTCCCCCACCAATCACCTGTCCAGTCCTCAGATCCTGAAAGACAATGAGAAGCAGAAAAGGTTACGGAACAATTTAGTTCCTTCGTTAGTGAACTAACAGAAATCAAATTATAGGGAGATTTGAGATGAAGGACAGATGATAAGGAAAGGGAGGGACTCAAATGTGCGTCTCCAGTACCAGTAACTTGGGAAATGGAACCATCAGCTAATGTAACAGAGTTGGACACCCCAGGAGGTGTGGAATGTAACGAAGACAATAATGTAGAGTTACCAGCTATATGATGAGTAGCTCCAGAATCTATAATCCAGGAGTCCGACAGGGTAGAAAGTAAACATGATGAACTACCTTTTGAGCTATGTGCCAGAGTTGCAGTGGGAGCTGAAGGTCCTGTCACCTGTTGGGAGCGAATCCAAGCCTCATATTCAGCACGTGTCAATGTAACCGAATCTCTTGTATTCTGCACAGTAGTAGGATCCGGTTGAGCTAATGAGGAAGAATCGTCCACTTCAGCAAATGCAGCAAGTGTAGGTCGAAGCTCTGGATGAAGCGTGTAGCAGTAAGGTTCTGTATGTCCAGCCCTCCGACAATGATTACAATAACGAAAGCCACGGCTACCAATACTTCTATCACGACTCCCACGACTTCCACTCTGAATAGATCCACGTCCATGACCCCGATAACCACGACCACGAGCTCTACGTCCACTAGAGCCATGAGAGATCATGGCACTTGTCTCTAGAGTTGTACTTGAGATCTTAGCAGTAGGTGTCGAATGAAGGGCTCGGGAGAAAACCTCAACAACTGCAGCAAGGGAGCTTTCAGATGTAATCTGCTGACAAAGGGAAGAATATTCAGGCCCTAGTGATTTAAGAAATAGTATCACTCGAAGATCCTCCTGGCGTTTGACTAAAACATTTGGATCAGTTAAAGCTGGAAGATAAGCATCTAGTTGGTGGCAAAGTGTAGTGAAACGAGCATAATATTCAGATAGAGATTGATCTCCACGCTAAAGATCAAATAGAGCCTCCCATGTGTCACACACTCGTATCATATTGTTCTGGCCAGAATAAAGTAAAGCACATTTCTCCCAAACTTCCTTAGCAGAAGTACACTGAATGAAGTGAGGGCTAATCTTAGGATCCATACTATTCCATAACAGTGTACGGATCATCACATCTCCTGCAACCCAATCATCTATCTTACTCTTATCCGAGGGGATTGTAGACGTAAGATAATCATTCTGTCTAGTGGCGGTAAGATAAACTTCTACAGCTTTAGACCACGATGGATAATTAGTTCCATCCAGCTTGACAGATGTCAATTGAAAATGTGTAAGACCAGTAGATGATCCAGAAGCCGAAGCCATCAGTATTAACTCCACTGAACTCCAATAATGCAATTAGCCGAACAGATTGAACACAAGATATGATTGAACCCAATAGTAATGTCACAATAATCAAGCACTTAACTTCAGTTGTGCAATCAGCCACAAAATAACAAACACAAATGAGGGTTCAATCGGCTCACCACGGAGTCAAGAAGCTGTACTGAGAGGCCATAAAATCATATATTCGGTATCAAAGAATCACGGAAAACCATCCAACCTTCCAGGCATACACCGACCAGCACTTCAAGTATCAATATACGGCAATGAGAAGCCACATAAGTACACTGGACAACATCCTCTGATGACCTCAGTTCGAATTTTTTTTTTTTTCGGAAGAAACCCTAGCAGAACCGAACGAACTGAGGTCGCCTCCGACTCCTCAAGACGTACGAAACCCTAGTAGAACTGAACAATGGGATGTGAATCACTTCGAACATGGGAGAGGGTTGAGTAAATACCAATTCTGCTACGCCCGTGAGAAGCAGTCGCTAGATGGGCTTCAGCGAGCGATGCGTCTGGTCAGATCTGGAGAGCAGACGCCAGTGAGAGTCGACGCCGACGAGAGGCGATGATGAGGGTTGGCGACGACGAGAACAGGTGCCGGTGAGGGGCGATCGGTGCTTCTGGCCAGATCTGAGCAGATCTGGATCTGGTGAGTGGACGACAACGGTGGTGGACAGATCTGAATCTGGTGGTCACGGTGAGGGTTTGGTGGGTCCACGACGGTGATGGTGAACGGCGACAGTGGGCTATGGTGGTGGTGGGGTTGAAGACAACGGTGGCTGAAGAAAGAATACGGTGGGCTATGGTGGTGGTGGGGTTGAAGACTACGGTGGTTGGAGAAAGAATACGGTGTGCTCTGATACCATGTTGAGAGAGCGAAATATACGTATTGTATTATCTCAATCAAAGGATTACAAGAATACATGTAATATATATGTGTAACCCTCTCGATATAAAATAACTTTTGACTGTTTTACCCTTATTATTATTTCCTAACAATAACATCTCTACACTATGGTAGCAACTAAAGTAAAAAAATCTGTACCAGCAAGCCAACATCTGAAGGCAAAGTAAGAATGCAAATATATCTCACAATCTATGTCAATAAGAAAATGACCTCTCTGGATACCTTGTTTCAATCTCTTGTTATAGGTGACGATACTGTGATTGGTTGAGTGGAGATGGAGAAGCCATGACTATTGCAGAGTCTTTCTATTTCTTAGACTTTCAACATCTTCTAGCTTGCAATTTCTCTTGAAAGATACTCTTATCACAACTTGGTCTCGAAACCAATAATCTAGCAAGTTGGGATTGCCTTCCTGGTTGCATAAGATTACGTCAATCAAAATTATCTGCGGCGGTTCTATACAGAGCAAGGTCAAATTAAGTTGACTCAGCAGCTACTTCCTGGTCATGGTATGGTTGGATGCTGTTGATGTGACCCTTCAAATGGCAGTGCTGTCGGAGACCTTGATCAGCTGAATAAATTTTCACAAGTGCACCCATATCATTCGTCCCAGCAACCACTTCCGCCATACTGATCCAACTATCTTCGAGTAGATCCACTTCAATATCCTCTCAGCCCATTAAGCAATATATGCATGTAGGGGACTGCCATGCTCCATCCAGACCCAAACAACAGTGGCCCAAATACTATTTCGCTGAGAAAGGTACTACTGCCAAGTGCCAATTATGGAATTGTGCTAACTCATGCATGCCCCAGACGTTTTCTTTGATCAGATCAGGCATACATTAGGCTTGAATACCGCGGTCACGTTTCCAGAAAGACCAGACATCAAGACATTACGCAAAAACATCATTTTATCTTCACACAGATATAAGAGTCCTGTCAGACACCAAGGAAAGGATAACAAATTAATTCAGTTCATTAATATAGTGAAAGAATGTGGGAAATCAGTTGCAGCAAATTTCAGATAATCATAGAGAAAAACACAGGAAGAGAACAGATCCTATTATCTTCAAAGCTGCAAAGTATCCTTTCTTTTATTTGGTAAGATAGGAAGAGGGAATATGGACATACCGAGATCTTTTGGATGTCAATAAGAGTGAACCATCATTAGACTAAACTCTTGTTTCTCGTGCAAAGTTTAAGAAGATATTATACAGGAAGGAAGAGTTAGTTCATCACATGTTTTGCGTGTTAACTTTACGAAACTTTAAAAGGCCTCTAAATCTCAGTAATCCACAGATATCGGTTTCACTTACAGTGCTTCTGTTCGAGTTCCATCAACGCAGTTCCCAACATAACTCTTGCCTTCCGATCTGGAGAGCATCCACTCTCCTCCATTTCCTTGTATATCGCGGGAACCTGGATGCACCAAATTAGAAGATGAGGAGACACCTTAACAAGAAGGAGATTTTCCCTCAGTAAACACTCCAGCTGAAAAAGAAAATTCCTTGAGCGCAAGCAAGAATAGCATCGTGCTTTAGGACTAAAATTCCTTCATTTTCTAAGAGAAGCGATTAAATTATTGCAATATATATATAACACTACCTTGTCAAATTTCCGAGCTCTGATAAATGCCTTCATAAGCGTAGAATAGGTAACCACATCAGGAAAGATACCCTACAAATGTGGCAGCATTGCCATTAGAAGATGAGGCGAGATGATCCTTGAAAGTTATATGACTACCAAAAAAAAGTCCCAAATAAGCTAAGAAGAAAAAGACAGAAAGCTAGGTGAATCTGTACTTTCTGGATGATAGTTATGTTTTGGATTTCACTATGTCTGCAAAACAAAATTTACCCAAAACAAGAAAACTTACACTTTCTTTCATAAGGTGGTAAATAGAGAAAGCCTCCATGTGTCTTCCAGCAACACTGAACGCATTAATCAACACATTCAGCATTACAACATTTGGTTCAATTCCTTCTGCTTCCATAAGCTGAAGCACTTTAACCGTATCTTCACATAGTCCCTACATATAGGAAACATAATCTAGAAATTAGCAGGATTGGTTCTTCTACTTGCGAAATAAAATAAGACTGGTCAAACATTCCTCACACCATTCCACTTCAATAAAAGTACACACCACGTGATGCTTATCTTATAGGAAAGAATAATCTCCAGCGAAGGTGAAAGTTATATTCAGTTTTTTTCACTTTGTTGAATAATCAATGCCCTTCACCTGTTTACCTGTGCTATTTCCTGATCACGTGATTTGCTATTTCCCTATATACTCATAATAAACTTTTGCAGATCAACTGAAGCAACAATTATTTCACAATCTGACAAATTAATTCAACTTCGCGAGATCCTGTCCTTGTTTATTGTTCAATTCAGAAGCTTCCATCACCATCAGGTATAGAACGATTTCAACAGGAGAATAATACGTCTTCTACTTTCTTTCGTTCCTAGCCATGCTACTAAAACAATAAACAAAGAGTATCAAGGGGAGTTTTGTTTAGGTAATCCTGATCAAGGAAGACATATATGAGGCAAAAAATACTAGAAACTCCGTCATGTTATAACAGAACCATAGCTTGGAAGGGATTTCAATTATCCACTACTTTCCATATACATACTTCTTCCGTACTTTGGGAGCTGCTATTTGTCGGGGAAGTATGTAAAAAGATAACACTAAAAGATCTACAGAGTTCATTTCCTACAGATTCAAACAGAAAAAAGAACGCCGGCTGCTACCCAGTGCACCCCCCACCCTCCTCTTCCCTTTCCTCTACTCCTTCTTATCTGAGCATGGAACGAGCAGCAAAGTAAGATGTTACACGAAGTGAAGCTATTGTTGTCCGACAAACATATCCAGAATATTTTATCACAATAGCTGCAATTAATACCCAATTCCATGTGGATCGAGAATAAGCTTTCATACGTAGATACGTAGTGTGAATATATATATGCTTATTCTTACTAGTTGACAGCTTTATTTATCGACTTCATTTTAATTTTTTAAGCTTCTCTATTTAGATTGAAGGATTAAATACAATTAAAAACATTTTCCCTGTAAATTTATATTAGCCATCTCAGGCAGCATTCGACAATTGCTATGAGTCCTCTTATCATATACCCTCATCTGCATCCTTATCGGTGCTTCATGACAGTAAAGCTTCAATACATGTGGATTGAGGTGTCCAGGACCATAGTGCATGCATCGATGTAACTAAACTAAACAACGCATATCCTATTACTCAGATACAGCAACTAGAGATGCTCAACACTCTTTGGCAAATAACAACAACAGAAAATAGTATACCTGTTGAGCATAAGCATTTGCTAACACACAGTACAAACTAGCTGAAAGCTGTAGACCTTCAGACTTGAGAGCAGAAACACACTCTTCAGCATCCCGATATTTCCCGTAGTGCCCAAATATATCAACCAATACTGCATATATAGTCCCGCTTTCTCCATATCCCCTGCACCTCATACTCTCAAAATTTTGCTCTAACAAGTCCCACTTCCCTTGCTCAGCCAGCCGGCTAATTAAGGTAATGAAAATCTTGGGATCAGGATACAACCCCTGTCCTTGCATCTCACTGAACAACTCGAGAGCCCTGGAGAGATCACCAGCCTTACAATGCCACCTGATCAAAGAATTCCAGGTCATAACATCTGGTCTCACGCCCTCCTGTTTCATCCTTGCAAAGACCTCCAGAGCCTCCCCCAACTCGCCATGCTTACCAAAAGTATCAATAACAGCATTATAAATATGCCTATCAAGCACCATCCCCATCTCCCTTATCTCTCTAACGATGCCCATCGCCTTCTTCCACATCCCATTGTCCCGGTAAAGACCAATGACCTTACCATAAACAAAAGAAGATGGCTCGAGACCTCTAAGCCTCATCTCATTAAGAAGAGACCAAGTATCCTCCAAACGCCCTGCATTAACGTAATAATCCAAAAGAATCTCATAACACTCGCGATCTCTCTGGACGTTCAAGTCCTCCATTGCAGCTAAGACTCCGACAGCGAGCCCTAACAACCCTTTCCTCAAGAACCCTCGGAGCATAATCTTGAACACCCTCACGCTGGGCCTAAACCCCAGGCTCATCATCTCTAGAAGCAGAGACTCCGCTTCCAAGGTCCGACCGCAGTTCCCAAGAGCTTCCATCAAACAAGCGTAAGACGTGAAGCTGGGCCTGAACCCCAACGCCTCCATTCGGGAAAGCAGACTCAAGGCCCCGTCGACGTCTCCGGCACGGCAGCAGTCGCGGATGGAGCGATTGAACGACTCGAGAGAACGCTCCTCTCCGGTGACGAAACCATTCGAGGGATCACTGCTAGATGAGGCACGGACGGTTCTCAGAGGCAAAGCAGCGAACACCTTGGCGGCATTACGGTCGTGCGAGAGGAGAAGCGAAGCGGGGAGGTCGAGGTTGTGGAATCGCCTATGGAGAGAGGCGGGAGGGAATGAGGATAAAGGAGCGAAACCGTCTAATGAAAATCTCGAGGGAGATGGAGAGATAGAAGACGACATGAGAGTCGCGCTCGGATCACGGGAGGGGAGCAGCTGTAGAGCTCGGGAGGGGAAGCCGAAGAGAAGGAGAGGTTACCTTGCGCCGTCGACAGGATCATCTCCCTGTTTCAACGGTTATCACTGACGAATGGGATGATGGTCGGAAGAGATTTTTTGGGTCCACAGCTATTGGCTTTTGCCGGAACTGACCATGATGACTTCTCACCGTGACGACTTCTCTTTACTTTTTTTTCCACGAAAAATCCTGAATCGGTGCACATTTGACAGTTTAATGACGATGGACCGCCGATTTTTCACGAGGTCGCGCTTTCCATTTACGTTACGAGTGAATCTCTCACTTATATCGACTGCGGTATACATTATGCGAAAAAACTTCTTAATAGTCATGCGATGATGGATTTACCGTTCTTGGATTTTCACATTATTGATAAAGCAGAGTAGTCACGACTCACTTTGCACATTTCGTAATAAATACGGATTCTTACGATAAAGTATGTGATAAAGTATGTGACATCCATCAACTTGGCAAAACTTTGAAAATCTCATTTTCTCATTTTCGCTATTTCAGGCCACTTAAACTTAATCTGTTAAGGGCGGATTACGAACAAGGACACAAATCGTGGATGAACGACCGATGCAGTCCCATTGCACTCAAAAATGATACGCAGTCGACGTACTGGAATGGAGATTGAACAATTCTAGCCGATGAGCTGGGAAACACAAAGCGATACATGAATACAAAAGTCATGTCCAACTCCCAAATTTGTAAGATTATGTCGTTGCTCACTCATTCCATATTGAGGCCAGCCTTTGGCGGGGAGAAGAAAGACTGACCCGTATCAACGTAGAATCAGCTAATTCAAATAGCTGGGGAAATGATTTTCTAAAGCTCTCATCAAAAGAGGGAAGAAAATGAAAGGAGAAGGGACAAAAAGCTGTAGAAACGATTTTCTTTTTCATTGTCCCTAGAAAAATCGAGTGATAACAATGAAGAAATTAAGATCCTAATTCTATTTGCAGCCACAATGTTTGAAGTACTCTGGTTTACGTGGATACCCCTCATCTGCAAAGAACATTTACATCGCCCACCCGCTGAGGCCTGTCTTCACTGTCCTTATGCTATGAAAATTTCTTGTCAAAACCTCGGATGAAGTCCTCCATGCATGCCCGATATGTCTCCATTCCAGGGACCAGCCCTGCAAGTTCAATCCCTACCTTCATCCATTTCTTTGCCACATCAATTTGTCCAACGCGAATAGGAATTGCTGCCCGATTCCAGGCAGTTGTGACGAGCCATTTACCCTCTTCAGTCGGATATTCTCCTTCTTTCAAGCCAATCATTATCCGATAGGCTTGCTTGTACACATCATACACGGCGTCATCATCCGTATCACCCTTGTAAATGCTGGTTAAAGCTATCAGCTTCCGTACAATGAGAGATACATTATGGTAGTCTGGCGAGACGGAAGATAGAAGTTGCGAGAGGCACTGGCTCAGAGCAAGAAAGGCTACCTCAGGGTTGGGCCTTGGCCCCTGGGCTGCAGCGAGACCGAATTGGAGGAGGTAACTTGGAGTACATGCCTTCGAGCTGATAAAATTCTTCACAAGGATTTGTTGGGATCTCAAGTCATTGATCCTGCCATGTATATCGTATGCACTGAAGGTGTATATGAAGTTGAAGTCGGGCTCTAGGGCTGCGTCTTCGTCGTCATTTAGTTGAATCCTTGTTGAGAGTGACTTTACTATCTGCATCCATCCATGCACAAATGTTAGAAGTGCAGAGGATGCAGCAGCAAAAACCAGGAATTAAAGCAGCATTATCCATGAATACGCAATTGAGAAGCCGAATAGATGTTTTCGAAAACTCAGAACAGAGAAATGGAAAAAGGATAAATCACAAAATGCCATGTTATGCAGAATATATGTGTGATCACACCTTTCCTGCTCTTTCGAGTAATTCCAAAGCTTGCTTCACTTCAATCTCAACGAGGGAGGCTTTTCTTTCGTTCTCTAAAGCTATCATGGCACATACTGTAAAAATCAATGATTTGCAGAGCATGAGGCTGTGTTCTTCTCCTTGCATGTCAGCTAAGAGACTATAGAAATTAGATGCTAGTCTCAGAAATTCAGCACACAGCATATAATTTTTCTTCTTCCCAGCGCTTGTTCCAAAATTCCATGACGTTACAGCAAACCATTTCAGTTCCCGTACTGCAACCTCGTCTTTTCCAAAATAGCAGCCAATCCCCATTTCTGATGCTCGATCATTAGCATGTTTCATAAATTTAAGTACTTCAGGTTCATTTCCCGTGTCTTGAGAGAGGATAGTGATTAAGGTGCGTAGAACGACAACCTCTGATGTTGCTGTTGATTTTCCCAAGACATAGAAGTTCAAGAGATTTGATAAAGAAGCAACAGCTACAGGGAGCACACGGCAAGCCACAGCTTCATGTGCTGATAGCAAGAGGAAGTCTGGAGCAAAGTCAAGGCAGGTTGTCATCGCTTGAATTTGGTTTATTGCAGCGTTATGATCATTCTTCTGTAAACAAACTTTGAACTGCATGCATGATAGGTGTCAATTCACAAGGGAACTTGATTAAGAACGAGAAAGATAATTAAACTGAATGTATTTGCAAGTCTCGCGTAGATATGACTTGTCTGTGTGCGTGTCTGAAAGAGAGAGAGAGAGAACCTTGAGGAAAGCACTTGCTATGTTTGGTTCCAGCTACAGGAACAAAAAATATCATATGTTACAGTATTATTTAGGTGAGTAGTTGTAATTGGTGAAAGGTAACCAATTTGAATACCTTTTGAGCTTCATTAATGTATTCTTCAGCTCGGTCCAACTGAGAGAGACCTAGGTGGCATAGACATAACACCCTGAAACCCTTGGCTCGAACAACTCTGTCTTCTATGTCACATGGAAGAAAAAGCATAGCTTTCTCGAACATTTCTGCACTCGTTTCATAATCTTTTAATTGGAAATGACCAGCAGCGCTGTAATGAAGTACATCAGGAACCTTCAGATATGCAATATAGAGCTGAAATAATTTAATTTCACTTTTCAACTTTTCTTTTCTTGAAAGCTAACAAGATGTACAGCCAGAACTATGTCTCTAGGCTACAACATAATCACAAACTGCAGCATGTTATGATATTAGTTCATGGTTTAACAAGACCAGGGAAATAGAAGAACATATGCTTTCAAGGAAATTCTTTCAGAGCTCGCCATTGACTGCGAATTAAAATCCTCTAAATGGCGCCTGAACAAGCCCAAAGTAAAAGCATCACAAAGATGCAATGCAACAATTGCTCAGTTTTTATCAATTGATGATATTTCCCATATTGATATCAGCTTCATGACTAATAATAATACGAGACCCTCTAGCTGTTGAGCCTAGGAGAAGAGATACCGTATTTTTTAACTCGGCAGGATTAGTATAAGAACTAACCAATTCCACAACAGAGCATGCATTGCATTCCTCTCTTTAGCAGTGGCATCCCCTGAAAACAGCGCCACCACTCTATCATCTGAAACCAGCTCGGCCACCACCTTGGCCCTCACTCTCGACCCATCCACATCGCCGCCAATGCCACTATTACCGCCTATCACCCGATGAACCACCGTAACTGCAGCCGCCGCACTGACATGGCACCTCCCGAGGAGCCCCAGAAACACTCCCTTGGCAGTCTCTGCCCCAGCTGTCCCTGCCGACTGGAAATACGCCTCCACAGCTGAGACCCAAACCCCCTCAGGAATCCCCTTATTTACAACCATGCCCCTCAACTCCTTCTCCGCCTCATCGTGCCTACCTAATCCTAACCATGCCTTCATGGCCAATACCGGCAAGCTCGGATGGTTGTCCCCACCGCCATCGCTTTCTCTTAAGATCCTAACACATTTGATCACGTTCTCGTACTCTTCCATCTGCAGGTGTACGGCCGCAATGAACCGCAGGATTTTCGACTTAAGCCCCTTGAGATTCACCGTCTCCTGCCGCATCCTCGCTGTACTGAATGCCTTCTCGCACAAATCCAACGCATCGTTCATTAGCTTCAGAGCTTCTTTAAAACAGTGAGCCTCGTTGCCTTCATTGGTTTCTAAGATGCTCTTGCCAAACGCCAAGTACTGATTAGCTAACGCGACGTAGTGATCGGACGATCCAAACAACAAACTCTTGGAACGATTCAAGAGCGTTACCGCCAAAATCTGGTCAGAAACTTCCCAAGCAGCGCGCGACCTCGCGATCTGAAGATCTAACAACAGCTTCCTCTGTCCTGCGTCCTTAACTGTGCCTACGTCGACTTTAGAGATGATTTCGGTGGCTTTCTCGAAGCAATCGGAAGCGAGATCGGACCTCTTGAGACTATGCCAGATGATGCCGGTCTTGTAATAGAAGAAGGCCGTCTTCACCTCCGGGGAGGGGACGCCGGCGGCGCTCCCGGCGAGGGAGAGCATGTCGGCGGCGACGTGGCGGAGATTGGCCTGATCCTCGTCGGAGGAGGAGGAGGAGGAGGAGCGGATGGAGGAGGCGTTGGAGCGGTCGACGCAGGAGTTCCAGAGGCGGTAGCTGAGCTTCCATAGGTGCAGCTTGAGGGAGTTTGGGAAAGGAGGTGCGCGCTCGGCGAGTTGGGAGAGGCACCGCCTGAGGTCGGCGGCGAGCTGGCTGAGCTCGGGGCGGGGGTGGGTGACGGGGAGTGTCTCGAATTGTTTGATCAGAGACTCGATTTGAGCGGTGAGGGGATCGGACTGAGCGTCCGGCTGGGTATGCCAACGCTCCGGCGTGGAGAGTTCGGCGATCCTCATCTTCTGTTTCTCTTTTGGGACCGGACAGAGAGAAATGACGGAGAGACGAGCTTCTTTTGCAGTGAAACCGAAAATAAGGTGACCAGGGATTTGGAGGGAACTGAGAGTATGACGTCACCAGTCAGTTCGCGGAGAGGGCGATATTGTAAAAACGAACATGTGGGCCCGAGAGTAGCACAAGCTAGCCCATGGGCCTTCTGCATTTTGATCACGACGGGCCAGCCAGAATATCCACTTTTCCATCGAGAAAGAGGATTTGATTTTACGAGAAAATTCAGTACGAAAGGAAATGGGAAAATGACACAAATAGTCCCTAAACTTTGACTCAATGTGCAATTTGATCCATGAACTTTTAATTTGTTCAATGTAGTCTCTGAACTTTAACCTAATATTCAAT